TAACCCCTTCCACATAAAAATCTCCTATACCCAACCCAATCATACCCATCACCACCGGTCCCTCCACCCATCTTCTAACTTTTTTACGAAATTTTGTCATTCTTCCATACTCCGCCAGCTGGACCAGTCCCTTCAACTCACTACTTTCTCTTCCTTTTTTTTATTTTTTATTTTCTCTCTCTTCCTATTCCTATTTTTTTTTTTTTTTCTCTCTTCCAATTCCTCTTTTTTTTGTTGTTTTTTTTTGTTTTTTTAAAAACAACCCGATCGGATGCTAGGCATGCTGATACCTATTCCTCTTCTTAATTTCAAAGTGTTGAAAATGCGCTTTACATGAAAAACGTGCTTCCAATTGGTTAAAAAAAAAACAATCCATTTAAAGTTTAAACCACCAGTCCCCCCCGCCGCCGAAACCCCCCGTCCCTGTGAGTTAGGGCCCGGTTGTACGGAGGGGCGGCGACCGTCCGTCACCAGCGGCTCCAATCCTGCCATTTTTTTCAAGTGGCAACTTCGCCGATTTTTGGTGCTCAGAAGAATTCATGAAAATGTCTGAAAATTTGAGGGTCCGTAGATTAGGTCGTGATCTTTCAAGGAAAAATATCATGAAAAATAAATTAAATAAAATCATTTTGACCGTGAAAGATTCGCTGCGCCGATTCAGTGCGTTTTCGATTTTTGCCGCAAATTCCATTTTTGAGGCCCACCCGGTTTTCCACTCTGTACTACCGGTACCCATCGTGAAACGGCGCTACCGCTACCCCCGAGGTTTCTGACGTCATAGCATCACTCAAGTATTAATAGGGATTGGTGACACGGATTCCGAAAACAGACCCTGATTAGGATAGATGGGGCATTCTGACTCTGTTAGAATAGGGGGGCTGACAGAGGGGGGCTCATGTGCTTATCCACACCGCCTACGTTGCCACCGACTTTCCATCCCTCTGAATACATCGCTACAACCCCCTCCTTGAAAGGAAAAAAAAAAAAAAAAAAAAACTGGCCGGGAATGCTAATGGTGGTGGTATGAGCCCCCACCACTACCGTGTTCACCCGAATACCACGCCCGGTCATTATCGCTGGATCTGGACAGCAAGTTGCCCCAAATACAGCCATAGTGGCCGGGCATTGTATTCGGGTGCAGACGGTAACAACCTAGCTCAGGATACAGTCCATTGGTCGGGAGCTTTTTTTTTCTTTTTTTTTCCTTTTTCTTTTAACCCCGAAAATCTGCTAGGAGAGGTGATACGAGCATCCCCCCCTAGCAGGTTTCCTGGCTATTGGTGGGGAGCTGCTGCACCTGATGTTCATGAAGATTTTTCGCAAGCGCATACAAGACAGGTACTATTAGGATGGGCCATTCGGCCCCCGTTACAATGACGGCTGCCAGAGGGGAGTGGTGAGATATATATATATATATATCGTCACAAACAGAACTGCCCGGTAAACCGTAGGCAGAGAGAGAGAAGAGGACAACAAACGAGGGGCTGTGACAAACTGTTAATATATACATATATATATTATATTATATATATCATCAAATAGAAATATATATATATATATATCGTCAAATAGAACTGCCCGGTAAAGCGTAGGCAGAGAGGGAGAAGAGGACAACAAACGAGGGGCTGTGACAAACTGTTTCGTCGGAGTTTCATATATATATATACTTACGATGATCTTGGTACGCTGGACCTGGTTTTCAGCAGGTGTAGCTCCCCACCAATGGAAAAGGAGCAATCTGCCTACAACGGGAGGATGCTCTTATCGCCTCTCTTAGCTGGCCAAGGTGGATGTTTAAAAAAAAAAAAAAAAAAAGAAAAGGACAACAAAAAGAAAAAAAACATATACAAGCTATCGTTCGGATCTGTGCAGTTATTAGGAAGGTGGGTGGGAAAAAAGGAAGGTGAGCCTTCAGCTATCTTTATGTTAAAAAAAAAATAAAAAAACTAGAGGATATACAGAAAAAAAAACAGGGTGCATAAATTAAAATGATAAAATCTGAGTATAAGATCATCCTCCATTAACACTTCCCAGGACGTATCTGCACGGAAATACAGCCAGATTCAGCCAAAGAAGTCCTCGTGCATGGGAGTATGCACTAGCATTCTTACACCAGAAGATTACGAAAGAATTACAAAATATGATTGCTAAAAACATTACATAAATGATGAAATTATTTATGCTATTGTTGGTAAATATGATTGCTTCACAGAACAAAAAAAAAAAAAAAAAAAAAAAAAAAAAAAAAAAAA